CAGTGGGTGAGATAGGTCAAGTAGTATTCTGGTAGAAATTTTCTGGCATGCCCTAAGGTGCTGTGAAATAATAAACTGAACAACATACTCAAGGGATATGCCGCTATATCGGCATACGTGTTTGATGGATGTGCGTATGAGTTTGAAGACTTTGATTAAAGGACCCGGAAAAATAACAGGGGATGCATAAAGCCAGTGGGGAAGGATACAAAGAGAAAAAAATGCTTTATTAAGTGAGTTTTTGGTAGATAACATCTTCAAACGAATAATGTAAAGGTTGAGTTTTCTGACTTTGTGAAATGTTTCGACGACATGAGGAGACCAAGAAAGATTGCGGGAAATGGTGACTGACATTGTGAAATGTTTCGACGACATGAGGAGACCAAGAAAGATTGCGGGAAATGGTAACCGAAAGATATTTGACGGAGCATGCTCTGGAAACTTCTTCACCATTGATAATGACATGCTGACAAGAGTTCATCACGTCAATATATTGATCACCGTTTAGTAACGAAAATAAAACATTATTACACTTGGAAAGATTCATTCTAAGATTGTGCTGTGAAGACCAGTCGGTGAGCAGTGAAATATTCTGCATACGTTTGGGGTACACGGAGGAGTTCGAAAGCGTCATGCCATGCACAACATCATCTGGCTACTTATTGAGCAGACAATCATCAAAAGCAGGCATTGAAGAAATATAAGTTGTGAACAAGAAGGGAGAGAGAATAGCGCCTTGAAGAACTTCTTGAGTGGAGGGTAAACGTGAAGAGTTATGACCCTTATATTTGGTAAACTGTGATCGATGGGTGAAATAATTACTTAACAGATTGGTAAGCTCCGGCTGAATGCCTTTCTCAGAAAGTGTGTGAAGAAGTTTGGACCTATCAACACAATTGAAGGCATCACTGTACTCAAAGAAACATACCCGAACAGCTTTACATTTCCTGTCCAAGGAGGAAGAGATATAATGAATGAGGGATGCCAACGCATCATTGGTTGACCTGGAACTGCGGAAGGCAAATTGATTGGGATCAGGTGCATTCAGCTGGGTAGCATCTTTTGTAGTAAAATCTTCTTCATGACTTTCAAACACACAGAAGTGCAAGCAATCGGGCGAAATTTGGAGGATCCTTTTTGGGTACTGGTTTGATAGAAGGCACTCTTCAGCAGTCCGGAATGCAGTGTTTCGTAAAACACAGGTTGCGCAGCAAACTGCAAATATGAAATCCTTTGAAGCAATAAGTGCAATTAAACGAAGATATTCTGTTTAAGTAACGATTTGTGATTAGAAAACATCCAACCTTCAAATAACTCGTAGAGCTGTGGAAATGATGTGGCTGTATGAAACTCAAAGAGCAAAATACAACCACTTCACAGCCCATTTTCAAAGTTCCACCACCAACCTAGTTGACATCCTGAGTGCGGTGCTGGAACGTTTTGCGAGCATACAAATAGGCTAAAAGGAATTCAGGCCATTTGCGTTATCTATTTTCAAGACTTTGTCAGATCGTTAAAGACTGAACAGTAAATGTCACAGTCTTTAAGGTTTGACAAATTTAGTGCTCTTTTGAGTTTTCTTTCTGAGGATTCTTAGTTTCACCTGAAAAAGCCAATACGTGAACAAATAATGAATAAACTGATCAAATGCACTCGATACCGTTCAGGTGAATTTTATTGATTCTAGAAATGGTAACAACCGGATTCGAAAAGTAGCGAACAGTTACAATCGCTGTCGGAATTCGGGAACAACAATGCGATTGGGATTCAGGGTTTCAGTGAGCAAGATGCGTAATGAAACGTGAAGAAAATCATAATCAGAGAAGCAAAAAGTTCTCATCGAGTCCAAACGAGGGGAAGATTAGATTCAACAGCTCACGAATTCTTGCTGCTTTCAGCACAAATGCAAAACAATCTATTTTCCCAAGATTGAATTGGTGCGGAATAACCAGTTGATTTAACGATTTCAAATAAAGAAAAATGTGGTTATTTTATCTAAGCACATAAGTAACAAAATCTGAATATAATAATCACTTTGCTTTCGTTTTGTACAAATTGTAATTTTTGGGAAAACACAGCGATGTCGGTACAGGTGAAATAAGCCGACGTTTCGGTTACCGCGGGTAACCTTTATCAAGGCGATTTTTACAATCGAATGAGTCGGGAACAGCTTTTTCTGAAAAAACTGTATAAAACAAATCACATGGCGCATCGTTTTTTTGATACACTCCGAACGTTGTTCGGGTTTGACACGTTGCTTTCGTTTTCTTTTAATGAAAACGGTTTTTAATATGTATGAGTTATAAGCTAAGACTCATCCCAAACAATGTAGGGACATCGTGACGGGGAAACGGTCATTGGTGACAGGGTTCCGGAGAAATATCTCTGGGTTGTGGTTTCACTGATCTTCTTTAATAAACTTTGGTTAATTCCTGTAAATGAACCACAGAAAAAGCATCAAAAGTAAAATTTGGATTCTTTTAAATAGTGAAAAACATCGTAAAAGATGAATCTATGGTTGGGACGATAAATAGAGGCCTAAATTTTGAAGTTGTGTGTGAACAAGATGCCATGATGTTAAGCCCTATCTTCTGAACTAGTTGATAAAACTAGAAATTAAACATTGGATGCCTTTGGAGATGATCGCACGTTGCATTTACCAATTCATTTGTTCCTGTGGCTCAAGGCGGATATGTGAAAATACTCTACCCCTCAATTATTCTGTCCGCAATCTAACCATGGAAACAATTTGAACTGAAGTATGCTCGTGTGCACCTGCAGTGAACCGTTCTTGGATACATTGTGGAAATGCATGTTTGTGACTTCCATCTGAAATTTCGGAAATTTTGAATACACTTTTGTTGTATTTGACTTCTCTTGCAAACATCGGGTATTCGCACATAAAACACCTTTAAATATTATGAAGTTATAGCAGTTCTACAAGCGACAGTTTCGCAACGACAGTTTTTTTCTTGCCTCTTGCTTTTCTCTACATTTACTGGTAGATCCATTCAAGCTGGACGTGATCATCAAATCACGGACCAGGAGTACCTTCACCCTACACTGGGGACTAGCAGCAGGACAGATTTAGTTTCAACCAGCCCTGTGTAGTTAAGAACTGTCAGGACATGGTTACATAACCACGGCATACGTATCAGAACCATCAAGATTCATATATCAATTAGCAACTGAACTCCTCGATTAGGCAGAATGGTGACAAATGCAAGGCTACCGTCATGCTTTTCCTCCTTGCTTAAGGACCCTTGTTCACCGGGCACAATCAAGTCTACCGTCCAGATGTAGCACTTATCGCCATTATTTGTCGATTGTGATCTTCCAGGGAACCTTTCTTCTTTAGATACAGTACCTTGGACACTTCCAGGATTAAGTTTTGTTTCAACTATTATCATGCTTTTAATGTGCTCGAAAAGACCCCACCGGCACAATTCCTCACGTTGAGCTCTGCATCACACACTTCCTTCGCACTGATCAGATCTACTTTCAGATTTCCGCTTCCGTTGCTAAAACACCAGTCTAAGCTAGATAGTCTCACCTCCAACATTTCGGAAGTTTCAAAATATAACGTTGCTGCAATCCAAAACCTTGGTTCTGTTTTGTCTTGGGACGGATATCCAGAACGAACGTGAGCAAATAATAATGACACGTTCTGACGAGCATCAGCAACCACCTAATTGAAAATTTGGTGAGCCCGCATACAAATGCCTCTTTTCTTTTTGGAAATCATCAGTTTTGGCGAGTTCGTTCCATATTTTTGGAATTGGTGAACCGTTTTCTATTCCTTTAGAAAATTTGAGCGATTTCTTTTGGTGTTCTCACTTTACCATTATAGTTGTGTAAACTCTACATTTTCTGGAGAGAGTCATTTCGGATTGTATATTGTCTATACGATTATTCATTGCCTTCCCCTTGTCGATTTATTAGATTTATCCGACAAGCCTTCTCCCGTGGTGGCCGCCACTTTCCAAACTCTACCCTTTTGGGCATCTAACTCTAGGGCGTGGTTCGCCGTCCTATCATCCAAGTGTGCAACTGAGAGCGTTAAATCTTCAAAGACAAAGTTCCACCATGTCTCTTTGATGCCAGAACACCGGTTAGCCGAAGTTTTGACGTAGCTTAAAAAACCCTAAAGATAGGCCTTACAAAGCCTTACGAGAGGCTATACTAAGAGGCTCTAATAAAGAGCGTATTCGATGCATTCTTCAGGACATGCCTTTGGGTGACCGTAAACCTTCACAGCTTGGAGGCTTAAGTTAAACGACATGGACAACGTCTCACACGATGATGCATTCGTAAGCGTACTGTAGTTGCAGAAGTTGCCACAGGACTTTCAGTTTTTTCTTGGGCCAGCGCGAGACATGCCCATAGAGCGTTTAACGGTTCTGGCAGATCATGCCATGCAGTACCGTCAACCGACGGTCACCGGGGTTGCGCCCGTTTATTTCTCCAGCTACGTCTGCCAACGGCCCCTTCCAGGCATTTATTTTGAAACTGAACGATTTGAGCCTAGATAGAAGGTCCAGGAGCGCAGGCTTCAGTGGAAAACAGTAATGGAGCAATCACCGGATACCTAAGTCAAACAGCAATAGTCAAAAGTACTGTTGGTATCACGCACGTTTCGGTAATGTTGTTGCCAAATGCATCCACCCATGCTCGTGCAAGGGTCAACCCCTTTCGGTAAAAGACTAAGCCGACGACTGATTACGGCGTCATCCGTTGGCACACGAACTAGGAGCCGCTTTTTCCACGTTAGGGGCCCCATTAGTGATGTGTATTTCCTCGTAGACACCGGTGCGGAATTGAGCATCACTACTCTTTCCTCCACTGAAGCTCGGCTCCCAGCTCTAGCACTCACCTTGACCGCAGCAAACGGTTCGGCTATACGTACATTTTGTACTAGGAACCTTACTGTAGACTTTAACCTTTCCGAAGCAGCTGAGTGATCATTCTTGATTGCTGAAGTTCCTGTTCCTATTTTTGAAATGGATTTCCTAGCACATCACGGCCTCACTGTCGACACAAGCGAACGCCTTCTTCTCGACAGCATCAACTCTGCCAATGGATTAGCCACTGTCGCTGTGTCAATAATCCCCGTCTTAAACAACGGTGTACACTTTGGGTTACAACGCTTGTTAGATGTTTCTGCAATTTTGCCACCGGTCACCGCACCGGTGACCCATACCATCGTCACACGCGGTCCACCCGTACATTGCCGCGCACGTCGTTTAGTTCCGGATAAGTTGCCTTTGACCAAACGAGAGTTCGACGTTATGCTCAGGGCGGGTATAATACACCCTTCATTGCAGATGGGTCCAGCAATAACCGAATTTTACCGGACAGACCTTGAACTGAGCGTGTACATCGACGGAACGATCCTAACAATGCACGCGGTGCAGAAAACTCGTGTGCGATTCTCATACACGAAGTGCCACAGCTCCTCGAAGCCGACAAATCCAATTGTCGAAAAAAATGATTTTTGCGAAGGGCGCTTCATTCAATAATTCTTAGACTGCCGCAATGTCTTTACCACGGCCATTAAACGCCTTCCGTGTTCTCCCAACTGTCGCCCGAAAATACTGAGGTATCCCTTGGGATACCAGAAATGGTAAACACAGTTCTTCGGTCATGGTATGAACACAGAACCAGAGGGCCCAAAGAACTACGCGTAAGACCGCTGCTGAATTCAGAACCGAAAAATTGTCCACCGGTTGAAAATGTCAATAACATTGCTCGTGAAACACTGTAAACTTAATGCTCCACTCCGACCCCATCAGACCTAACCCAACAATCACCTACGGCGAAAAACGTCTGACGGCCGACGATGAGGTGGGCCAAATTACGTCCCTAAACTCCAAGGAATTTCCGCACCGACAACGACTGAACTGTTTCTATACCAATGCTCAGGGCTTTTTCAGTAAGTTTCCAGAAGTGGAACTACGTTGTCGGACCGGTCGATGAGGTCTCATTGGCGTAACCGAAACCTGGTTGACGACTGACATTTTAGACTCCGAGTTGCGGTTTCCGGGCATGGAACTATTGAGGCGTGATCTTCCAACGCCAGGTGGGGGTATGTGGCTCTACTATCATAATAGCTTGCAATGCGAGCAAATTGAGTGCCCATTTGCTGCTTCAGATACGTTATGGTGTAAATTGAAGCTAACATTACATGATATCAGGCTGATTGCTGTAGTTTATCGCCCCCCTTTGCCAACAGATTGATCAAATGAGACTGTTGCAAACGATGTCTTACTTCCTATCATTGAATTTCACTCACGTTCTTGTTATGAGTGACTTCAACTGTACAACCCTGAGCAACGTGACTACATCGTGTACGCCATTTGAACGACAGTCGAAGCAGTTCATCCAGTCACATCCGTTGTACACTCATGTGAAGGAAACCCACCAGGTTTGGAACCAACCAAATTTCGTCAACTTTGGATCTAGTACTAACAAATGAAGAATTGATGGTAGAATCAATTGCAATCGCAACTCCGTTGGGGCGCAGTGATCACGCTGTATTATTGTACGAATACGTTTGTTATGCATCAGTAATAACAGCTTCTTTGGATCGCTTTCGCAGCACAAATGATTATGCAGGACTAAACAACCTGGCTCTTGAGATCCAGTGGATCTCCCCTGATATAGGCTGCAATCCCCTGGAGTCCTGGNAAATCTACTAACAGCATCACAACATTGGTGGCTGCTGCTACAACCGTCAAGCGTCTATGCCAACCGACTGTTCAAAAATCAGCAATTTGCAGTCGAACTAGGAAATGGATAATGCAAAGGGACTTTCACTGGTGGGAGTTCAAATGCTGTCCATGCCCCAGCACTTGGGAAGCTTACAGGCTCATTCGGAACCATTGTACAAATTTAGTGCGGAAAGACAGGCACAATTATCATGATATGCTGGCAAGGAAGTTTATCGCAAACCGTAAGCTACTATATAAACATGTAAACGTTTCCCGGAAAGCCAAACATGGCGTTCCGATACTGAACTCAGCAGGACGTGTTTCAGGGACAACCAAGGACGCTGTAGAAATGCTTAGACCACAGTACTCTCAAGTGATCAATGACCCTAGTAACACTGGGTTCGTACTTCCCTGTTCCCTTGAACAAATTCCTTACCCATTACTGACAAACATTAACTTTTCTCCCGAAAGGATGAAGGCAAAGCTCCTGGCTTTGAAAAAGAACTCATCCCCGGTTTTAGATAACATTCATCCGCAAGCCCTTGTCACCCTGGCAAGTCACAGCCGATTCTTTAAATGAACTATATCAAAAACTGGGTATGTGAGATAGCAAACCTATTTTGTTTTATTGTACAGGATTTTGCATTTTATTTTTCTCGGGTTTTCAGATAAGAATTGCATACATGCAACTTGTTTCACTTTAACGCTATTTTCCTTAGAGTCACGAACTAGTGACAATCTGAATGTTTGGGGCCACTCGACAAACCTCGAAGATGAACACTACACAGCACTGGACATGCATCTGTGCCTATAGGAAGCACAGTTATGTATTGCATCGCTCAGATGGTCACCCGTGAATGTAAGAAATCTCGAAGAACGCATGTATTACATGGCAGTATGTGCTGCCCTCCTGTATGGTTTTTACATATTTATTCCTCTAATGATTGATGCACATTTCTTCATTTTGTAGCTGTTCTCTTGTGCACATTCTGTGCGTGGTCTGCGTAAAGTCCAATTTTGAGAAATTATTGAGAGTAACATTTTATTGTGCTCACAAACACAATGTGTCTACCATGAACCTAGTTACATAGTTATTCAAAAATTATATTCTTGTTATGAATGACAAATAAGATAGTCGAGTATGAGAAGAAAATCCCCCGCTTATGGTGGGAGCATCGCGTGACCAATGAGCAGGTTAGACGACGTGTGTTAGAAACATACAGTCCTCCACTGATCGAAACAATTTCACTGTCATCCCAAGTGACTGGAGCACGTTCTACGAATGTGTGGGCAACGTCTGCCATTCCCATCACTATTTGCAGAAATCGGCCCGGCCTGGAGGAAACAGCAAGTTGGTCTGGATATGACGTGGTGCAACGAGGTAAAGAGATTGTGCTCGGATCTGGCTATCACCGGCGCTTCCCGTCTCCCTGAGTAGGGCCCCAAAGATTCAGATTGTCTTTGGCTGAGGACGCTGAGGGATGTGGCATCAAACCGAAGTCAGTGGCATGAGTGCATCCTTTTCTGCATGTCATTCTCAAAATGAAACAAAAGGAGTGAAAACGGTGTGCGGTAACAAACACAAAATTGGTTATTCCCAAAGATGACTCTTTATGCGTTTCTTCCCTATCTGTTTTAAATTTTGCGGTAAACCCAAGGTTGACAAAATGTGGAAAATTGGTTATCGTAGTTCGGGTGAACTGAATTCCATTTTGCATGTTCGCCGAGCTTGACAATTTGTTTGCAAACGTTTCATCACCAGCCGAGGTGACATCGTCCGTGCTTGTGAAGTGGCCACTTCACAGGCAAACAGGCGAAATGGAAACCCATGGTTATTTTGGCTCCCCTACTTTAAACACTGATGTTACATATACAAATATAAGAGAAAATTTGTTACGTTAACACAAATCTGAATAGCAGTAGGTTTCTTACAAATAAGGTCATAGCTTTTTTCATCTGTTTGCGAGAAGCCCCAATGGAATTACTGATTCCGAGGACAAGTCGCAAATGATAAAAAATTAGCTAATCTACCTTTTGATCGCACCACGACAAATAACGCTCCAGGAGGACTTGAAACCATAGAATGGTAAACACCGAGACTCAGGTTTTTGGTTGGGTCTGAAATACCTAAAACTGAGTGCGTGGTGTCTTACTCCTCACTATCTATACGAATTTACTTCCTCGCGCGGGAGGAGTTACATAGGATAAATAACGCGACCTTTAGTTCGTCGCATTAGAGAACTCCGTTGGACGTTACAAGGAGAAAAAACTATTGACGGTGATCACAACTCACTTAGTCCAATTTAATCCGAGCGTCAGTGTGGAATTAGACAGTTTTCCATTTTTTAATCACTTATTGTAGCCATGATTTTTCTACTTTATCCAACGTAACCCTAATTCTCTAAATTTAGATAAGGAAGATTTGGTTCTGAGAAGAATTTATCTAGGATAAAGTAAGGTTTCCATTGTTCTGTTATCATAATCACCAGATAAATCTAATGTTTCATTCAGATTATCGCCAGAAAATATCCAAAATAAGCAATACTTCTTCAACACCTGTTACTTACGATCCCGGAAAGACATCCAAGCATCAAATACTAGTGGAGATTCACAGACTCTAGCAAGAATTTGAACGACGGTGCATGGGTAATGCTTGTAAAAAGTGATACTGAATAATATTGTAAGCTAAAGGCAAATTGGACTGCAGCAGTAAGCTGAGTAACACAAATACCCATTCTATGGTGTGTTACAAGTTACAAGTTAGGCGATGATGACCCGGTGGTAAAGATCTCCAAATTATCACCCCGGAGGACGTGTTTGAATCCCACTACGACGGTCATAGTTTCTCATCATGTGTTGCATGGCCGCCATTTGATTGACCGCTTCTCCTATCTTGAAAATTGCATTATTGTATATTCAGTAAAAGGAATCAAAACTATAAAATAAAATAAAATAACGATAAACTGATTAAAAGCAAGAAATAAATCATTTTACATTGTACTCTACTGGCATCACGGCCACCAAATTCGTCAACTTGGTCCCTCGACGTGATCATCTTTTGTTGCATAATAAAATATTCTAACACAAACGGTTAACTAGTTTCCGTGCCTTCAATGAAGCGTTCACCGTTCCGAGGGAACTCCAAACTGAGAATCAGATACATTCATTTTAATAGGTTATCTTAGTTTAGGAAAATCACTGTCAACGTCGTCTAATATAGCTTATCACACAAATACACATTGGGCTTTATATCGTTCTATTTACACCCGTATACTTGTCGGCTTGACATTTTCCCAGGGATCGGAATATATTTAGTTCATTGCAATTCTGTCCATATATCGTTAGACTGCTACCAAGGGCATCAAACAAGGGTAAACAATTTCAACCTACCCCCTCCCCGCACAAACACACCAAAGTAGAACTGGTTGCTGTCATACTATTCCTTAATAAAGCAATCATTTTATTTATCTCCACAAGCTCCAAATTCGAACTCGACGGTAGTTAATTATTCTAATATCCTATTCAATGTATTGCGATCCTGAAACGGTGAACAGGAGTATATCTTTATTTTTTAACAATAAAAAGTGAATACACGTGGTGTTAGGTGTAAAATAGTCAACCAGAGGGTATTATATCTGATGACTAATGGTCTGCCAGATGCGAGGAGGAAACGTTTTGTCCTTTTTTATTTAGAGAAGTATCCTGATTCATTCTGAACCACATTCACTAACCTGCATCACATCGTACTTTTTAGTTGAAAGACGTTATCGGAAGAGCGTTTACGAAGTTTATATGAAATAAACTAGCGA